AATAATTTATAAACAAACCCCAGATACGACTTAAGATAAGCAACGCCTTCAGTTTTATCGAAAAAAAGATGTACATGAATGCCTGTATTACTACATTTATAATCTATAAACAAACCCAAAGGTAAGGCTTAAGTGAAGCCATACCCTGAGCTTTATGAAAATAGTGTATACATGTTTGAACAATTTATAAACAATAAACAAATAATAAAGTAAGGCTTAACATAAGCCGTATCGTAGGTTGTATCATAATAGATTGTATTTTTAGACGATTTATAAATAAACCCAAATCTAAGACTTAAGGGAAGTCATACCCTGGGATCTAATGACAAAAAGTGTATGACTGTGTGTATGTTTGAGTAAGTTATGAACAAACCCATAAATATGACTTAAGGCAACCCAACCGTGAATTTTGTCGAAGACATGACTTAAGGTAAACCCACCCTGAGTTTAAAAGGAGAACGTATATGACTGTGTGTGTTTAAATAATTTATAAACAAACCCCAGATACGACTTAATATAAGGCATGCCTTCAGTTTTATCGAAAAAAAGATGTACAGGAATGCCTGTATTACTACATGTATAATCTATAAACAAACCCAAAGGTAAGGCTTAAGTGAAGCCATACCCCGAGATTTATGAAAATAGTGTATACATGTTTGGATAATTTATAAACAATAAACAAATACTAAAGGAAGGCTTAACATAAGCCGTATCTTAGGTTGTATCGAAATAGTATGTGCATGATTGTATGTTTAGACCATTTACAAATAAATCCAAAAGTAAGACTTAAGGGAAGTCTTACCCTGGGATCTAATGACCAAAAAGTGTATGACTGTGTGTATGTTGGAGTAAGTAATGAAAAAAACCCAAAGATGTGACTTAAAGTACCCCAATGCGTGAATGTTTGGGTAACTTATAAATAAATTAAGCTACGACTAGCTAAACCATAAACCGAGTTTTGTCAAAGGAGGATACACATGGGTGGATGCATTATTTAACTATTTTTTAAACAAAACCATAGGCACTACTTAAGGTAAGCTGTACCTTTAGTTTTATAAAAAAAAAAAGTAAATGAATGCATATTTTTGGATAATCTACAAACAAACCCAACAGTAAGACTTAAGGTACGCCAAGTTGGTTGGTACCACAAGTTTTATCAGTAGAGTGAGTATAGGTATCTACATGTTTGGTTAAATTATAACAAATTCAAAGACAAAACCTAAGGCAAGCTATGCCTTCAGATTTAACGAAAAAATTTTATAATGTTGTGTTTGAATAATTTATAAACAAACAAACAAAGTTGACGACTTAATGTAAGTCATACCTTAACTTATACTAAAAAAATATTTGGATAATTTATCCAGAAATCTAAAGATACGACTTAAGGTAAGTCATATCCTGAGCTTTATGGGGCAAAATGGTTATGATTGTGTGGATGTGGATAATTTATAAACAATACCACGACACATGATACCACAGTTTCCATTTTATCCAAAAACAGAACGAGTATGATTGTATGCACCTAGGCTTCGATAACTTATAAATAAACCCAAAGATACAACTGAAAGTAAGTATACCATGAGTAATCAAAAACAAATGGATATAATTTCGTGTGTGTTTATAAAAACCGAAAGTAAGACTTAAGGTAAGCCATACCTTCAGTTTTATAAAAAAAAGTGTGATTATGTGTATGTTTGGATAATTTATAAATTACAATTTGTGTACAACTTAAGGTAGGTAAGTCATACCTCGAGTTTTATAAAAACTGTTCCTGGTTACTTTACAAACAAAACCAAAAGTACAACTTAAGGTAAGTCATACCCTCAATTTTATGGAAATGATATGTACATAGGTACATATGTGCATGTTTGGATAATTTATTTACACAAAAGTATAACTTAAAGCTCCCTTTTGTTGAGCAGGATGCTGATGTATATGTTAAAATATGCCTGTCTCTATGTGTATTTGGTTTATTATTTGAAAACTTCACTATAAATATGCTTTATGAAAAGCCAAACCATTATTCTTTGAAACATTTTCAGATGTATAAAGTTAGGTTCATTAAAACAACATCTGTTTGTAATTATTCGTTATGGTCTTGTCACCTTACCTTGATAATCCTAACAAATATGTACTTCTACCTAACGATTACTCTTCGAAAACTAAAATTACTCGTGTACATTGGTCAATTAAAATGTATCCTATTATGCTTCTTTGTGTAAACAGTGGAATGAATGAACAATATCACTGCAGTCTTCCTGCAGTTCGAATGTTACATAGTAAACCTTCCATCTCACAATTATATTGTCAGAAATCAAATAAAAGCTGCTTCAGTAAGTTGAAAATCTTAAATAATCTTCTGTAGAGGTGGCTTGTCTCATATTATTACATATTCAATAAAATTTATGGTATGATATGCCTAACACTGGTGCAGTAACATCAACTTATAGGTTATATCCTAAAATAATTAAATCTGTAGTAAAAGAAATAACTGATGGGTTTATGACTTACAAATACATTTAAATTTTTAATTAGATTTGATGTAATGACAACGAAAGCAACACTCCATATTAAGCATATATATATATATATATATAT